TCACACTGAGCATAAGCTAATATAGTAGCTTTTCATCCTCTTTTAAAATTACAAATAAAAAACCCTTCTTCCCATAACTTAACTTTTATCTATATGCAATCCACAAATCATCATCTTTTCAGTCCTGGTTCAACAAAAAGTCCATTAGGAGTTACCAGAAATTTCAAACAAATAGTTTATTCCTGATCAAATAGTCCAACTTTATATTCCTTCTTTTTGCTCCTCACAATCTTGACGTTTAAATCATTCCAATGGCATCGCAGGATTTGATCTTTCATCAATCTTTAGCAAGATTGGACTTCAAAAGGAGTCTTCAAAGCTTTCATCAGTCTACTTTGTAAATCCCATAAAGAGGCATCATCCAGGATTTCTTGTCACAGCTGTTCCATGTCCAGATACTTTTCTTGATTTGTCTTTTGTATTCCCATTTTGGTAATCTCAATTTTGTTGTCTTCCATATCTTCAGATTCTATGTTGTCTGTCAGGTAAGAGTTGTTTTTTACATTTTTTTTCTCATCTTGTAAAAGTTTAACCACTGAAATCTGTATCATTTCTGAGATATTAGTTATTAATATCTCAGTCCATTTTTCGAAAGATTCTTTAAGACAAATACAAGTTATAGCCAGCGTAGCCATTTAAACTTTCTGCCTGGTTCTTTAGTTCCTTCTAGTGTCCATTTGCAACCTTCATCAAACCTCAGTTCCTAATATGGGTTTAGTTCCATTTCAGTCATTTTCCACTGGCATATTATTTAATCATATACTTATATTTCAAATCTTACAGCAAAAATAACCAATATTTCAAATCTCTCTGGTCTCCCAGTCCATTAAAACTTTCTTAATTTTTTTTCTTTTTTCTTTTTGCCAGTTGTATATTATTTTAAACTCTTAAGTCTCTGTTTAAAATTCCTTAAATCCAAAGAAGAAGGTAAAGCTCACTAGGTGTCAAATTAAGCTCACCTTTTTGAAGGTCTCTAATATCCATAAATTAGTTAAATTGAACATTTTCATATGTGATTAGGGGGTGAATTTAGTGTCCTTATTAAAGGCTCCACCACTGCCGAGAGCAAAGATAATGTCTCCCTCGGCTCCTGGTGCTCAAACCCATGGGAGACTGTTTTATGGTCCCCTAATGAGGAGCTGCTATTCATTTTTTTAAATAATAATTTTATTAAAGATTATTAAAAAAAAGATTATCGTTATAACAGCAAAAAGTAATGCAAACTAAAAGAAAAGTAGAAGGAAAAAACAAACAGTAGAAGTTACAGAAAAAAAAAAGGAAAAAACAAAGAAAAGTAGAAAAGAAAGAAAAGTAAGAATATAGTAAAAAAAAAAAAGCAAATATATAAAGAAGTGACTTCCCACCTTCATCACAACAAGTATAAACAATTTTAGTAATTTACCATCTCCTCTTAAAATGCAAGTGATCTCTTTTCCCCATATCTCATCTCTTATCTATAAACAAATCCATAAAGCATCATCATTTCAGTCCTAATCAGCAAAAGCCCATTAAGGGTTATCCGAGATAATAACATATCTATTTTAACCTTGATCAAATAAACCAACTTTATATTCCTTCCTTTTAACAATCTTGACCTTTATTCTCTTCAAATAACTTGATTGATAACTAGAACTTGATTTCTTTTCATTTTTTCTTCGTCCCTTCTCACCAAGTTCTTCAAAACTTTAATGAGCCTCTTTTGTAAACCCAATATAGGAAAATTATGCAGGTCACTTTCTTGGTTTGTTATTTGTATATCCCTTTTAATTATTAAGACATCAGCTGGTTTATTTTGTATGTCCAGTGTAGTATCTTTTTCCATCTCATTCTTGTAGCCTGTCATTTTTAAATTCAGTTTCAGATCAGTTTTAGCCTTGTCTGGTAAAACTTATTCCTTTTCTATAACTTCTTTTAAAT